CCAACGCAAAAGATCTTATTAGGCGCCGCGAAGCAAGCGGGCATTGGCTTGTTACTGGATATCAAAAAGGAATTAATAAATTAAAAGTTAGTTACAATTTTAGTGAATGGTTCTTGCAAATAATATTATTTAATGGTTGAAATGACTTTTTGCCAAAACCAAAGCAGACGGGAAGGAAAAATAGTTGTTCATTAACGATTTGTCTGAAATATCGTTCTTGAAACGCGTTACTGCTCACTAAATTTGTAAAAATAAAATTTTTTCACTTAATTGTTATATTCTTCCTCATTGTGGTAAAGTTACTCATCATCACAGCAGGGCGCAATCTTCTTTTCGATGATTATTGTACTGCTACTTTGAATTTCTCAATTTTGACAATTCTGATCTAAAAGTAAGCGAAACCTCAGAAACTTTAAATGCACTGAAATTCACTAATACCCACTTCCGCAAAAATCACCTTATTTCGTATTTCCTTTGTTAAAAGTTATTGTAAATCATATATTTTTATCGCCTTATTCATAAAAAATAAAAATTTTAAAAAGCTTTTTAAATTGCCATTTGCAACCATTTTTCAATTTATAAACCTTTTTAAAGCTACTTTAGTTTTTTGAATAAGGCTATTAGAATTTAGCACAATTAAAACACGTTCCCTATAGAAAAATTTATTATTAAGAAAATTGGCTATTCTCACATTTTCTTTCAACATCCAATTCGACTTTTTTTACTTTTTGTACAGATATGTCATCGCCGCCAGGACGGCGCAATCTTGTATTCTATCTTTCTTGTCGAATATGCATATGGTAACCATATTCATTAAAATCGTTTCAATTCGTAATAAAAGTAGTTTACATACTTCGAGTCTAAATATATTTTTTAATATAAACTAGCTTTTTTAATTCTAAAATAGATCAACAATCTCAAGATTTATAAAAAATTTGTGTTCAAAAAATACGTTCCAAAGCATCCCTGTTGATATCATAATTCAAATGCAAATTAGAATAGAAATTTTTATGCAAAAGAGTTTCCGCGGTATTTATCATACAAATTTATCACCTTACTTTTCCGTATGTCGCTCTGGAAAGAAATATATTTTAATTTATATGTTTTCTTAAAAATAAATGCAAATTTACCTATTTTTTCCACCGGCAGGCACGAATATCGTATTCAAAACAGAAACAATGACTACGAATTTTACACACATTGTTGGATTTTAGCGCAAAACGATAAGTTTCACAAATATTTTAAATTATTGCCTGGAACATACACATTTATCGTTATTATTGGAAATGCAAGACTTGGCAAGCATTTTTAATTTCTTATTTAATCAATTGAAATGAATAAAAACACATTTTTCTAAAATATTTCTCAATTTACATTTTAAAGTTTTTTCTGAAACTTGAATGTAACTCTGTGCGGAGAATGAGAGAATTGAAAATCAGGTGATCTCAGCTGTTTTCAAATGTAAACAAACAAAATGGCGCTTTCCATACTTGTAAGCCTATACAATGCATATATGTAATACTTCTATATTGGCAGTAAGCTAACTTCTCAATGTGTAAGCATTCCGAAATCAAAGCGAGACAGTCTAGTACCGTTTTTGTCAATGTATTGTGTACTTGAGTTGCCGTTTTTGTATATGTGTTGTGTACATGTTTATTTGTAAACGTATGTGTTCCTTTTCTTTCGTACGTGTTTATTGATATATCTGTACTGTAGTGTTTTCGGACGGTACTAGCTCTTACTGCCTATTATGTGNCACGAAACCCTTCATCTCGTCTCCGAGACTATGTATGTTACTAGCGGGGGAGATTATTATGTATCTTCACTTATTAGATTCAACTACTTATTACATAAGTATGGTAACTCTACTCAATAAGTATCATTCCTAGTTTGTACATCGCTAACATGAATTATAACTACCTTATCTATTGAATTGTAAGTCGTTGAATAAAAAGCAAAAGAAGACATAACAGATTGGCGACGTCGGTGAAAATTTTTATAAGCTGTGCAAAATGGATGCACAGCAACTCAACAGCCTTATAACAGCATTGTCATCGATGGCTACAGCCATCATTCCCACGACAGCCGGTTCTACGTACCGGAATGACTCGGGTTTCACCCGACCAAGGGCTGTTGTTTCGGCGATCTAACCCCGTCTAGATCGGCAATACCCATTAATCATTATCCGTCCATGGAGCAATACCTTGCAGCCGGATTGCTCCGCATCCTTCTTCTCCGGGCGGGCGTAGAGCCCAACCCCGGACCTGAAATTTACTTCTGCTGTGTTTGCCAGAATCGACTCCACCCGAACTCCACTTCGGTTAGGTGCAACTCCTGCAACGGGTGGAGTCACCTAAGAACCTGCTCTGGCCTTAGGTCTCACCGGGAGTGGACCACAAACTTTGTGGCTCCCTGTTGCTCAAGCCAAATGGCACAATCAGCCTCCACGGCTACCCACTCGCGTAATGCACGGGTGCGACCTAGCACCCGAAGAGCCTGCACGGCCCCTAGAAGCTCCCCTGAGCAACAGCAAACCTCCCAACACACCCCTCCCACACAACCTACCGGCCGGTCCCACTCGCGAGCGCGAGCCAACCAGCAGCTACTGGTTGCCCACACCATCTGCTCCGTGTGCCAGAACAGAATATACCGGAATGTGACATCAGTCAAATGCAACACATGCCTTGGCTGGTGCCACTTCCGGCTATGTTCTGGTCTACGCACCACACGCGAGTGGACTACAAACTACAGCGCCCCTTGCTGTAGTGCACCGCCGACGCAGACAACAACGCCCATATCGCAGCCACCTACCATCAGGCTGCAACAGCAACTGCGTCAGGCGCAACAGGCCCAAGGTAGGCCCCACACTTCTCTGACCCCCCGTATCGCGACCAGCCTCCCAAGGCACATGAACGTACTCCAACTCAACTGCAACGGACTCCAGAGCAAGATTGAGGAGATAGCAGTCTTCATGGGTCGGCACGGCATATTGATAGCTGCGGTCCAAGAAACGAAGTTGCACAGCAACTCAACTCTGTTGGGTTGCGCCGCCTACAATGTGCTCGGTAAAGATCGCGAGCGAGATAATGGTGGTGGACTAGCGTTCATTCTACACCACACAGTGCAGTATCGGCTAATCGAAGAAGACATCGACCCAAGGGACACTACCCTAGAATGTCAGGGCATAGCTGTCCGGTCAGGCGATGTCGAGCTCGAAATATTTAACGTGTACATACCCCCTGTCACCTGCTGCCCGGCTGGATATCTCCCTGACATAGGTGCGCTACTCAGAGGCGAAAACCGATTGGTAGTAGGTGACTTCAACGCGCACCACGATCTTTGGCACTCAAGCCTGGCCAATGATCGGAGGGGAAACAGTTTGGCTGAGCAGATAGACGATTCGACATTCTGCACCATGAACGACGACGCCCCCACCAGGATTGTGGGCAGCTGCAGCAGCTCGCCAGACCTAACAATTGCTAGCGCTGGTCTGATAAATAGCATATCATGGCGACCTATGCTAACGTTAGCATCAGACCATCTGCCCATAATCATCTCGATCAATAAGCCCACCGACTTTGCTCCCGCGGATCACCGAACCTACACCAACTTCAACAAAGCTGATTGGAACGGCTTCGCGGAAGTTACCGAGAGCAGCTTCGCCGCCCTCCCCACACCCACAGACGTACATGCTGGCGAACGCCAGTTCCGCAAGGTAGTCACAGCCGCAGCAGCTCGCTTCATACCGTCCGGACGCATCGCGGAAGTCCGCCCAAATTTCCCGGCTGAAGCAGCTGTACTAGCAAATGAGCGTGACCACCTACGCCAGGTCGACCCCGGGGACCCTCGCTTGAGGGAACTTAATTTGGAGATTCGGCAACTGGTAAATCAACACAAGCGGACAAAGTGGGAAGAGCACTTGAAGGCCTGTAACTTCACCTCTGGTGTGAGTAAGCTCTGGTCAACCGTGAGGTCCTTGTCCAACCCGACGAAGCGTGATGACAGAGTGGAAATTTCATTCGAAGGTCACGCCTCATCGGACCCGAAGAAATGCGCGAACTATTTCAGTCGGCAATTCACACTGCATCCTTCGGTAGACAAGGCCAAACGTCGAGTGACCAGGAGGCTGCACAAACTGCCCAAAAACGATGCACCACTTGTTTTCACCAGCGGTGAAGTAAAGGGGGCCATCGGGAAGGCGAAAGCCTCCAAAGCCATTGGACCCGACGGAATCTGTATGCTGATGTTGAAACATTTGGGGCCTGTGGGGGTAGCATACCTCACGGAGGTCCTCAATTTGTCTATGACCACTCTCATCATTCCTGATGTGTGGAAATCAGGGAGAGTGGTCCCACTGCTGAAACCGGGGAAGCCCGCCAACAGAGGAGACTCTTATCGCCCGATAACGCTCCTTTCCCCGGTCGCGAAGACACTTGAGGCCCTGCTGCTCCCATACTTCACCTGCCACCTAACCCCAGCGAAACATCAGCATGGCTTCCGTAAAGTGCACAGCACAACAACAGCACTTAACGCCATAAACACCCAGATAACCCGCGGCCTAAATCGAAACCGCCCCTGTGAGAGAACTGTCCTAGTAGCGCTGGACTTGTCAAAGGCGTTTGACACCGTCTGCCATTCCACGCTGCTAGAAGACATTGAGGCCTCCTCTCTCCCACAGGGACTGAAGCGATGGTCGGCGAATTATATGAGTGGTCGACAATCATCAGTAATCTTCAGAGATCAAACCTCGAAACCAAGAAGAATAAAACAAGGGGTTCCACAAGGTGGTGTTCTCTCCCCCTTACTTTTTAACTTCTATATCTCGAAACTCCCCCAGCCACCTGAAGGAGTTTCCCTGATCTCGTACGCTGATGACTGTTCGATTTTGGCGTCTGGGAATGGAATTGATGACCTCTGCTCAAAAGTAAACGGCTATCTCTCCAGCCTTTCTCGCTTCTTCACTGCAAGGAGCCTAACCCTCTCCCCAACGAAATCAACGGCGACCCTCTTCACCACCTGGACGAAGGAGGTCAGGCTTGAATTAGGCATTCACGTCGACGGCACACCCATACCGACGGTGAACAACCCGAAAATTTTAGGGGTTACCTTTGATAGCCTGCTCTCTTTCTCCGCGCACACAACCGCAGTTGTCAACAAAGTACAGAGCCGCAACAAGGTCCTCAAGTCGCTCGCCGGCAGCACTTGGGGCAAAGACAAAGAAACGTTGCTGGCAACATACAAGGCAATTGGCCGGCCGGTTCTAAATTATGCAGCGCCAGTTTGGTCACCGGGGACTAGTTGGACGCAGTGGACGAAGCTACAGACTTGTCAGAACGCCGCACTCCGGACAGCGACTGGGTGCCTTCTGATGACGCCTGAGCACCACCTACACAGTGAGGCCCAAGTGCTCCCCGTAAGGGAACACAACAAGATGCTCTGTAAGCAGTTTCTGGTGGGGTGTCACAGAAGTGAACACCCCAACAGACCACTGCTGGAGGAGGAGCCTCCGCCCAGGCACGTCAGGGGGCACCTATTCATGTACAAGGACGCAGTCCAGACCTACACAGACCAACCACTGGACCCAATGACGTACAGACGAGCGATTAACGACATTCATAGGGAGTCTGTCTCCACCTACCTCGACTCCCGGCCTAGGAATGTCGTTATCGGAGCCCAATCACCACCTGTGGAAGAGACGGAGCTTCAGTTACCTAGAGAGACCCGCGTTACCCTGGCTCAGTTACGGTCTGGATATTGTAGCCGCCTAAACAGCTACCTGTCCAGACTCGACCCAAACATCCCAAATGAGTGCCCGGCATGTGGAGACTCCCCCCACGACACCAACCACCTCTTCACATGCCAGCTCAATCCGACTCAACTAACACCTCACTCCCTTTGGTCCGACCCCATCGAAACAGCTCGTTTCCTGGGCCTACCGTTAGTTGAGCTTGACGATAATGATTAAAAGTTGACCCGAAACAGGCGGGGCTTAGTAGTGCCGCTACAACAACAACATGGCTACAGCCATGCAACAACAACAACCAACGGCAGGAGCAACCAACGCAAGTATCTCCATTCTAACTACCTTCGACGAATTTAATGCAAAATCGTCTAGAACTACATTTGCAAATTAAAGGTATTTTCGAAAATAAAGATCTATGTACTAAGCTCTTATTACAATACATAGGAGCATCGAATTATGCCCTCCTAGTAACTCTGGCATCGCCAAGAAACATTAGTGAATTGAAGTACGATGAAGTAATACAAAAAATTAGGGTTAGAAAACTCGTGTTTACGATGCGCGCGGAAAAACCATACAGCAAAGAATTGTAGGATAGATAAGAAGAAGCTCAAGTGTGAATACTGTTACAAGACAGGGCATGTAAAAGATGTATGTATACAATACAAAATGAAAGGAAGATGATATTCGAAAGCGACAAACAAAATTACAGAATCAGATAATGATTTTTCAGAAGAAGACAGTGAAAGCATACACAAAATCATAGACATATACAGTAAATCAGAAATTTTAGCAAAAGAAATAAAAAAGTTTATGCAAAAGTGCTCATCGAAGGCAGAAGTCAAAAATTTGAAATTGACTCGGGGGCAGGGTACACGTTGTTACCAGAGAACGAATTTAAAAAATTGAAATTAAACGTAAAGCTTCAAAAGTCAAACATCGCATTCCGTTCATACACAGGCGACATTTTTTTACCCAAAGGAGTGGCAAAAGTAAATGTAAAGTATAAAAATAACAAGTCACTAGAAGAAATGTATGTTGTATTGTCAAAGCATTCCCCTCTCCTAGGTCGAGCCTGGATTCTCCGGCTAGGAATAAAACTAGAAGATAGTGACAAAGAAGCAGAAAATAAAACTATTTGCAGCATAAATTCGATCGCGAACTTAATAACAGAGTACCCGGAAGTATTTGTAGACAGGTAGGAGCAAAACCAATTTTTCTGAAAGAGCGTCAATTACCATTCGCACTAAGAGAAAAAGTCTAAGAAGAATTAGACGAATGGGAGCATGAGGGAATTATAACGCAAGTAAGCACCAGCGACTGGGGATCCCCATTAGTAGTTATTCCTAAGCCAAACGGGAAAGTGCGTCTATGCGTAGATTACAAAATCGCAGTAAATCCACAATTAGAAGCGGCTCATTACCCGATTAAAAGAGTCGACGAAATACTTAACAATCTAAAAGACTGCAAATATTTCTGTAAACTCGATTTGTATAAAGCATATCTTCATGTACAAGTAGATGATGAGAGTCGACACATAGAGGTACATACCGCATGAACAGACTTTCGTTCGGAATTAAAACAGCTCCAAGTGAATTCAATCGTATCCTTGATCAGATTCTATATGGTCTGCCAGGAACATCATCATACTTTGACGATATCATTGTGTTCGGCAAAACAATGCAAGAATGTGAAGGAAGGTTGAAGAAATGCCTGAATAAGCTAAAAGAATATAACCTGCACGTTAATAAAGATAAATGTCAATTTTACAAAGAAAAAATTCAGTACCTAGGATATACGGTAGAGCACAACAAGATTACAAAATGTCCGGAAAAAGTCAAGGCAATTCTAGGGATTCCTGCCCCGAAGAATATAGACGAACTAAGGAGATTTCTAGGAATGATAACCTACTATGCACGGTTTATTCCTAATTTGTCAACAATTACCACCCCGTTAAGAAAACTATTATCTAAAAATACTAAATTCAAATGGTCGAATGAATGTCAATTATCTTTTGAAAAACTTAAAAATGAAATAGTAACTGATCGAATTTTAATGCCATACAATGAAAAATTACCGGTAACGCTAACATGTGACGCTAGCCCTACAGGCATTGCAGCAGCACTTGCCCACGAAGTGGAAGGAATAGAGCATCCTATTGCATTCATTTCAAGGGCTCTTACTCAAGCAGAGCAGCATTATAGTTAGCTAGATCGGGAAGCACTTGCAATAATATTTGCAGTTGATAAATATTTCCAATATTTATATGGCAGAGAGTTCACGTTAGTGACAGATAATCGCCCACTTTCAAGAATCTTACATCAAAACGAAAAAATTCCGGCAATGACATCGGCACGCCTCCTTAGATACGCATCTTTTCTCCAAGGATTTAACTACAAAATGAAACATCGGAAATCCGAACAAATTGCGCACGTTGATTGCTTATCCAGGGCCCCCGCAAAAGATTCGTCAAATCGCTTCACACATTTCCTAGACGAAGAAGTAACAGCAGTACATGAGCAGACAATAAATACGATTGCCACGAATGCAGTTACGGTAACATCTATTGAAAAAGAAACAGGAAACGACCCGGAACTAGCTCAATTAAGAACAAATTTAAAAATTGGAAAAAACCAAGATCCAGAATACTCGCTACAAGGTGGTATTATACTAAGAGGCCAACGAGTAATAATTCCAATGCCCTTACGCAACGAAATATTAAAAGAACCCCATTACACCCATCTCGGAGTAGTGAAAATGAAACAACTGGCTCGGAGGTATTGTTACTGGAAAGGCATCGATGCAGATATAGAGCGTATGGTAAAAGGATGCCGTGATTGTGCTTTGGTTAGGAGGAACCCGCCACAAATCACCACCCATGTTTGGGAACAACCAAAAGAAAACTTTGAAAGAGTTCACATGGACTATGCAGGGCCATACCAGAATTGCTATTTCTTCGTTCTTGTTGACGCGAAATCTAAGTGGTCTGAAGTGAAAGTAGGAAGAAGTGCACCCACATCTGAAAGCACGATTGAATTACTTGAAAATATTTTTGCAACACATGGTCAGCCCCAAGTATTAGTTTCCGATAACGCAACGATTTTTCAGAGTAAAACCTTCAAATCCTTCTGTCAAGAAAATGGTATAATTCAAAAATTCATCGCACCGGGCCATCCAGCTACAAACGGCTTAGCGGAACGACATATCCAAACGTTAAAATATAAACTAGAAGCTATGCAGCACGACAACACACCAATCCGCAAGAAAGTTCAAGAAATTGTCTGTCGCTACCGAATCACCCCTTTAGAAAATGGTAAAACGCCAGCAGAAATGTACTTAGGTCGGAAAATTCGAAGTAGACTGGATGCTATTCGGCCATTATACAAATCAACAACGCAAGCTACGTCTTTGGGGCCAAACCGACAATTCAGCGTGGGAGACCGTGTACAAGCGAAGTGGTTCGATAAAAACAAAGCAAGTTGGAAGTTTGGAGTAGTAATAAGGAAGTACGGGAAGCTGCATTATCAAGTTCACCTTGACAATGGATACAGTCTTAAGCGACACAATAATCAATTGTATAAATCAAGCATTGGAGACATGAAAACACATAGAGGCACGACGGAAAACGAAAGAAAATCCAAACACCCACAGGAAGTATTAATCGAGCATCGGATATCCCCTGAGGTAGACAATCAACAAAGCGAAGAAGGCCAGCCAGAGGGACAACAACGAGAACAAGAATTCCAAGCACGAGGCGAAGCAGTGAGGCGCTCGGAAAGAACACGAAACCCTTCATCTCGTCTCCGAGACTATGTATGTTACTAGCGGGGGAGATTATTATGTATCTTCACTTATTAGATTCAACTACTTATTACATAAGTATGGTAACTCTACTCAATAAGTATCATTCCTAGTTTGTACATCGCTAACATGAATTATAACTACCTTCTCTATTGAATTGTAAGTCGTTGAATAAAAAGCAAAAGAAGACATAACACTGCCAATATAGGAGTATTACATATATAATACAATGCTAAAAATTAGAAAATAATATCTCACTCTCATAGAATTTGTTTTGATAAGTTTTGATTTTGAAATTTTAGCAAAAGTCATTATAAACAATTTATGAGATTGAAAACGAAAAACGTGGAGCGCATGCAATACAAAGCATTAGATTTAATTGACAATAGTGAAACTACATAACATAGACCTAAAATTTCTACAGAGAAAGTACAAATTTGAAATCTACCTACATACATATATTACTCTTCATATCAATTCAGGTCTATTACATGCGCCTCAAGGCGTATTTAACAGGTGATAGCAGCACCCTTTTGTTTTTCTTCGCCTCACGTCTTCATATGTCAAATGGCTGCTGTTGATTGGTTGAAGCAGTTGATTGTGTATTGTTTTCTGTTCTCTTTCACATCCTTCGTATGAAATTTTTGACAGTCCTCGCCGCAAAAGCAAAAACAAAATACATGTACATTTTGTTATTGTCGTACCGATACCACCTTATTGAATACGCCTTGATGCGCCTCATGCTTTTCATTTTCAATCTCATAAATTGTTTATAAGGCTATATCTCCATTGCGAGATTTAATGAAGATTTAGCCCTCTGACGAGATTTAACGTTAAATCTTTCGAGATTTGTCATATAAAATTAAATCTCGAAAGGCAGTAGATTTAAGTTAAAACTTCGTTAAATCTTCAATAATATTGATCAATAAATACAATTTGTTAGGTGTGGCATCCACATATTCACATGCCATATGTCAAATGACATTTGTATTTTCAATACACAGTTGCGGACATTGAAATCTAGCCGATTAAAAAAACATGCATTTTCGTATTCTTAGGGGTGTTTTTATATTTTGGTTAGTTTTAAAGCCAAATTATTAGTATATACATATCTTTAATAAATCAAGAATATATTATTTTAAAACCTAAAAATTCAGAAAATTATGTTTTATGATAATATAATGCAGAGTCTTCTTCGCTTCCTATAAATCTTTTACGCGCTACGACATAAAATTTAGAAAATCCAGAAAATGGTTCTGCTTCGATAACATTGCACAAAAAATCCTCTAGAACTCAATTCGACTCAAGAAATGCATTGGCAATCATTTTTGCTAGCTAGGTCTTCATGATATGCCAAAGGCCTACGATTGGATTTTCGGCTTATGAAGAAGAGAGTTTATTTCCCCAAACCATTACCGAATTTTAAAAATTTTTCTTTCAGCAAATGTTGTTATTTTGTGTGTATTTCAATGCCCGCAACTGTATTTATAAAAACATATATAATCAAACGTCATATATTTC